AATACACATACTCGGTAACACACGAATATATTTATCCGTATTATTAAAGGTTAATATAAAATTAAAATATCTTTAAGTTAACATTAACAGTAAGTTTATCGCACATCACCACACCTATAAAACAATCTTCAAGACATTTGCAAATATACACAACATACAACTACTAAAAGGGTAAAGTATCTTAAGCATCTACTTGTTACTATTCTTATACAAAGAACCTTTAAATAATAAAGGTGACTGATGATGTACCTACTTTAGGAGCAACCGGAATGTAATCTTTGGAAAAGGAGCATCACGTTTCGTCGAGCCAGAGATGACATAGGTATGTAGGCTCGTTTAAGACTCGTTTCTTGGTCTGAAATTACATTGCACTGTTCGTCTATACATCAGTACTATAAATATGTACACACAATTGTGGTCTGTGACACGAAAACGATTTGGTCGAAAATCATCGTGAATCTGTCGACGGCAAGAGGAACGCGGAGAAGATGGAAAATGATGAAAGGCCACCCTGCATATCGTTTCTGGTGGTCGGTGGTTTTAGGTTATTTACCAGGGTTAACTTTATTAAACATTTATTAAAAAAAAAAAAATTCACCTACAACATATTATGATGTTTAGTTATTTATCTACAGAATGTACGCTATTAAATTATATGTCTATATAGGTACGTATATACCATGAATTATTATTTATTATCGGCTGATTGAAAAGTACGAAGTAAAATACGAGTTATAATAGCTCATAAAGTTCAATTACATATTTTCAAAAATGTACTCATTAATGCCCAAGAAGTTAAGAAATATACGTATGCGATGTTGTCCACTTACTGTCGAAATATCAAATACTGATTGTTATTGTTGTACTCGTGGGAGTATGGCAATGACGAGTAATAATTATCATTCGGTCCAACGTACGAATTGAACTAAAAAAGTTTATTACATCTCAATCGGTTCAACCGGGAACTCGGTCGTGTGCATATTGTAGGTAATAGGTATACTCGTGTAGGAAAAGTATAAATATACGTTGTACACTGTATATATACCCACAAATCGCAATCGCCGAAAATCACGTGACCGGAATGCCGCAACGATAATCGCATGACAATAATATTAGACATGCGGCGGCGGTTTTATGCGGCGTACACGACAATAAACATAATGGGGGGATGAAGAAATCCATAAAAATACCTGCAGTGCCCCCGGAGCGAGCGCATCACATAATATAATATAATAACATATAATGTATATATAATGCGAAGGGTACCGCAGCGGTACACACACACACACACACGCGCGCGCGCAGAGGAGGAGGATACACATACCTGCAGTATTGTATATTGTGTTATGCGAGTTATCGTTTTTCCATTGATCTTCGCTGACACTTGTACCTATACATAAAATTATTTATACGACCCAACCGCCGCCGCCGCCGCCGTCACCGTCACCGACGGCCCAGGTGCACCGCTCGCCGAGATAATATCTACAGCCGCCCCGAAGAGGGTCGCATGCATTTTTAACGACATCGGCCGCCGCCGTCGCCGCTACCCTTACACACGCGTGTACAATATAATATTGTAAGGGTGTGTATTTATAATAATACGCGCGCGCACGCACAACACGCGATCGCGCGCGCTCGCGCGCTCGAACCTCACGCCGCGGCAAAGTCTTGACGAACCAATATAGACCTGTTAGTTACGCTTAACCGCGCCGCCGGTTCTCGCTTCGCGCGCGCCGCATTGAGGGTGCGCGTATTTGGTGCCGTTGATTTATTCGGTGCCGCCGCCGCCGCCCTTTTGCACGGCGAGAATCTCGCGCGCGCACATACACACACACACACACGCACGCACATAGGCATACGCATACATAATATATGTATGTATGCGGCACGTCGGCAGTGAGGTTTACGCGCCGAGGTTAAAAGGGGTGACGGTCGATCAGGGCGGTGTACGGTTGACGGGGGGGTGACGGGGCTGGTGTAGTCGTCGCCGAGTGTGAGTGGCGGTGTCGGAACAATGGCTTTTTCCATCATCCCTGTCGACGACGACGCGCGCGATAGGGCGGCTGTGTGTGTACGTGTGCGTGTGTGTGCGTGTGTGTGTACGTGTTTGTATGCGTGTGTGTGTGTGTGTGCGTGCGTGTGTGTGTGTGTGTGTGTCTACGTGCGTATATATATATATATATATATATGTATATACGCGTCGGGGTTTTATAATATAAATTAATAAAGTTCTGAGCGGGAATTTAAATGCACCGACAGGCGTCCGCCGCCGCCGCCACGGTTTGTCGACAAAACGTTTTTCCATTTATTAATCCTCGCCCGTCACCCCCTCCACCTCTCCACTAGCTCTTTACACCGCCGCATGTGCCTCGTGAAAATTAGAAAGGCCGATTTAAAATGTAAATGTGGGGTCCGCGTGTTTTTGATTGGGTTTTATTGAAAAGTTTTATTTTTTTGCCCTCTCCGTTTTCCGCCCGGAAAAACACGGCTCTCCGAACGGGTCAATATTTAACTTTTTGCACTCGGCGGTAATTGCTGCCGCCACCGCCACAGCCGCTGCGCCGCCGGTGTAGCAGTGTGGGCACAGTAAATGTGGGGTGCCATGATTGCTCGTTTAGCACGCTACCGTTGCCACCGCACGCTTTTTTGGTTGATTATTACGATATGAAAAAAATAAATATTCTTTTATGTTCTATTAATACAGACATACACACACACACACAAAAGTACACAAATACACACATATAATATCGCGTGTATAAATTATACGTACATAACAGATATGTACATATAAGATGACGCTGTGAGTACATGATATTACTTCCGTTGAGGTATGATGTATATTATAATATAATATCGAAGTGACATATTATATTTAAAAAGATATTGTCAATTAGAAAAATTAAACGACTACGTGGCATCGCGTACGGAGAAAGGCGACGAGCGTACGTCCCTGTTTCGATAAACGCGTATATATAAGTACACTTCAAGAAGGATGTAATAGGGAATTGTGTCTTATCCTGTAAAAGGGTTCTTGCTCTATGTGTCATTTATTCTAAACTCTAATTTAGTTAAGCGATTTAAACTGGAAAATTCTTAATAGTATTGATGCGGGTTTACAATATAATGAATTATTCTATCATTAATTTCTCATGCGATTCCAACAACTATTGAAAAATTCTCTTTTTCAAACAATTTAACTGGAGAATAATTTATAGTTTAAGGTGATTTTTATAATACATAATTTAGTGTCAAGTATTTCAACACGTTTAATAGTTTTGATTTTTAAATTTTTTTTTATAAGAAAATTGTTTTTTGTATACCTTGTGTTAATGTACTGTGGATATTATTGGTTGTAACAAAATGTGGTCATTACGAATAATGCATGTATGTTGTGTGTACATAATCATAGCATAGTTTGAATTTAGAATACTGAGATAACTTTGCACCCAATGATCCAACACAGGAATGAAAGCGTTCCCACTGTATTCGATATATACCTATAACATATTTTGCGCGTGCAAATAGTTCCGGACCACTGATTATAACAACCCAAATAATTTCATAAAATAGTATCTGATGCATAATGAATAATGATTCAATGTTTAAATGTATTTATAATACGTTCAACTGTATATCATTCGAGCTAAAGATTAAAACCTCACGTATAGGTACAGATTATATTATTGTTCTTTTTGAATGCCTTTCAGTTTTTGATTTTACATTAATTTTAATAATAATTTTAAATATGAATAAATTCTTATTTTATCAACTAAAGTTGATTACACTTGAAAGATATCTTGTATGGGTTATCTGTTTAAAATTTAAGCACTTATATTCTTTCGAAAAATACACATATTCAAGTATGTATATTAGGCATTGTACACAGGTATATCATAATTATATAAAAACATATAGCATTTGAGTTTTAAGTATGGATAGAGTAATTGATTTCAATATCGTTAACAATCGTCATAAATAATGTTATTGTATACAGTATAAATAATATTATCAGCTTGCACACTTAACGGTTCGGCGTTATCGTCGAAAACCGAGTTGAAATAAGTGAACATCTTAATCTCCATTTCATATAATATAATATTGTACGTGTACGGCGTACCTATATATTTTAGTTCCTACATCACATAATATGTTTTATACGTTTTCCTTCCAATGGTCTCTTTTTAACCGTTTATACGCCACAATCATCTACACACACAATTTAAAATTATAAGTACATGATTAATGAATCCGATTATGTCGTCCTACATTCATATATGAACATTGTTTATGAATTATGCATGTACAATTTTATTACCCATCCCTGTACATAGCACATTTGTATTTAATGTGTTTATGTGCGATTATATTATTATTATACCCATCGGCCATCGTCGAAAGAGCGGAAGGAGTGCAGGTTTTTTTCTATAGATGGTTTGTGTGTGATTTATCGTTGTTAAAATCTAGTGTTGGGCGAGTATTGGTTTTTTGAAGTCAAGTCGAGTCGAATCGAGTTTCAATTACATCGAGTCGAGTCGAGTTCAAAATTCGAGTACTCGAAAAATGTCGAGTACTCGAAAAAAAGAGTCGAGTATTAGACAATTCCAGAATATTAAAAAAAAAATCACCCAAGTCGGTATATCCGTTCTCAGCGATCTTTCATACATGCAGCAATTGATATTTAGGTTACTATAGTTACTATAATATAGTTTATATTTTGGTATTTACTACTATTTAGTATGTAATGTAGCCAATAAATATAGAAACAAATTCAATATTTTTTTAATTAAATAAGATTTGGCTTTATTTATTATTAATTATTATTTAATATTTATTATTTATTATCATGAACAAAAAACCTAAATAGTTATACATATATTATATATTACATATTTATAATAAAATATTAAAATAATAAATATTAATTATTAAATAGTAAATACATATAAAAATGATTAGAGTAAAATATTTTTAATATTTAAATATTATTATATTAATTATTAATCGTCTGGTTTTGAGTTGTCTTCTATTTCTTCCATTTCCAATATAAATTTATAGTAATCTTTTAAAAATAACAATTGTTCTACATGTTCAGGTAAGAGCAATGTCCTTCTATCTGAGACAATTTGGCCAGCCGTTGAAAATAATCTCTCACTGGTAACTTGAGTGGCTGGTATTGCTAGGTGTTGAAGAGCAAGGCATTTAATATGTGGATATTTTATTTGACCCACATCCTTCCAAAATTTTAAACTATTGGTTTTTTTTGGTTCCTTGGGATCTTGAATATAATTTTCTATTTCTTTTTCTATAATTAAATTAATATTTTCGTTATTTAATTGTGTTTGTGTTTCTGTACTCCATTCCTCAACCATTGACCACATGTCATTTCCATCAGTATTTACTTCAGGAATAGTATTTATATTTATTGGTTGAGTTGGTTCTAATGGTAACTGATATTTAATAATTTCATTTTTCATAGCGATTTTCAAATTTTGGACCTGATGTTCATTTAAAAAAGATGCTTTTAATCGTGGATCGACTACCATACAAAATAATAAAGTTGAGTTATCTTTAAATGAGGGAAAATGTGACGTTATACCAGTGCTGACTTTAGATGCAAATGTGCGAACCTTTACATTTGAATTATTTTGCTCTAGATCTCTTAAGGTTTCAATAATATAATGTAAATAAAAAATAATGCTCGATGCTGTAGGGAATGAAGAGCTACATAAATCATTTGTAGCCTTGTATAATGGTTGTAGTACGCACAACAAACCTTCAATTGTTGAATATTGATCCCTTGTTAGATTATCAATTTTGCTATTAGACTCAATTAAATCAGCAGAAATAAATTTTTTTAATTCATAAATGCGCTGAAGCATTAAATATTCTGAGTTCCAACGAGTCTTAACATCTTGGATTAGCATCAATGGTGGAGATATATTTTCTTTTTTTTGAAGTTCAAAAAGCCTTGCCTTAGCAGTCGAACTTCGCTTATAATGGCCAACAATGGACCTACAAGCTATTAAAAGTGCTTCTAAGTTAGATGTACTTTTTTTGGCATCGACTATTGCTAATTGCAATGAGTGTGCTACGCATCTTAAATGTTGCCAGGTATATCCATCAGGAACTTTTTTTAATGCTGCTACAAGGTTCGGCGCATTGTCAGTTATAAAATACATAGGTATATCTTTACAAAATGACCATTTTTCAATTAATCTTACTATAAGATTGTTTAGATTAGTTGCAGTATGTTGATCTTTGGAATGTTCGAGATTTAGTGTAATGTGACGAAGTTTCCATTCTTCTGTGACATAATGGACTGTTAAAGATATGTAACTTTCATTTGAACGAGAAGTCCACCCATCTGTTGTAAATGACAAAGATCTAACACTTTTACATTCATTAGTAATGATACTTCTAACATGATTAACAGCTTTTTCAAAAGCGTTTGGAATATGATTTTGAGAAAAATATTGCCTTGATGGAACAGTATACCTTGGTTCAGCTTTTCTCATAAGTTCTAAAAATGCAGGCTCTTGGACAATAGAATAAGCATGGCAACCTTGAATGATAAACCTTGATACACTATTATTAAGTGCCTTTACATTTGGATTTGTTTTTGCCCATGCTTGAGTTAGGCTTATAATTTGTGGCATTGTCGGTTGAGAGTGTTGAGACATTTTAATTTTTTTAGAAGCATTTTCAGTTTTTATTAAGTCACTCATATCATTAAACTTTTCAAATATTTTTTTATGTATTTTTAGATGATTTATCATAGATTTAGTTTGACTACATTTCCTTTTTATTTGCACTCCACATTCTAAACATTTACCTCTTTCAACACCAGACTCATCTTTGTCACCAAGTGTGAAAAACTTCCAAATTAAACCTTTTTGTCGTTTATTTACAATAAGTATAGATGCATTTTCTGTTGACTGATTAAATACTGGATGCATATTATTAGTCGATGTTGATGCAACTGATGTATCTAATTCCTCATCAGACATATTTAATAAAATAGTATTTATACTTTAAATATTTATTTACCTTATAATCGAATTATTTTGACAGCATACAAACTATTTGTTAACACACAAAACTATATAAATATAAAATGGTAGACCACAAACAAATCAAATGCAACACCACAATCGAGGTACGTAATCGAATGACAAGCATTAAAAATAATTATTACGACTAACGGCTGGTGGTTAGTGTGTGTATTTGGGTGGTAGTGGTAATCAATCGGTATAAACACTATAAACTATAAAATGTCGTTTTCATAATAATAAATATAATATATATATATATATAATATAGCAATAACAATCCATTCACTATTGTTAATAATTTAAAGTTTAAACCATCAACCATCCTAGAATTCTTATCGCGAATACTCGTATTTGGGTTCTCTCAGTTATTTATAGTTTCAACATTTAATAATTATTTTTACATAATATACTATATAGTGAAACACTGAAACAAGTACTCGATTCAATTCGAGTATTTGGTTCAAGTCGAGTACTCGTATTTACGAATACAAAATTTTTTTAGTCGAGTCGAGTCGAGTTCAAGTACTCGACTCGAAAATTTTTCCCAAAGTCGAGTACTCGAACAACACTATTAAAATCAAACATCAATTATCCCCGATTTTTTCCCCAACGTTTTTTTCCACACAATTGTCTGGACTTGAACCGTATCAGATTTTATTGCACAAAGGGCGCGCTGACAAAACAATGGTATAGCCATGTAGGTATTTCGTTCGTTTTTTTATTTATATATATTAAAGTTATAAAAATGAAATAAAATAATATTCTATAATACATGTATGTAGGACACCTACCTAAATATTATACCTGTAAACCTGTCTACGCATGATCTAAATGTTTTTTTTTTTTTTTTTATATTAAGGAGAGACGTGTATTTTGCTATGAATTAATAATTGATTACTTGACGGAGAAATGGTGTTCGTTCTTTATGCGTGTGGAAAAATGCTATACGTGTGCACTTGTTCATAATTCATAAACATTTTTTTTGGCCTAAACAAGTGTTAAATAATGGGCGCTATTTTATAAATATGTATGGTGGGTGCTTCTTTTACTGTTACTGGACCCTTTTAACACCTGCACAAATATTTAGACACACGCTAAAGAACACCAGGCGGTTGTTTATACACTGTCCAACCCTTTTTAGAATTATGGTACTCTACGGGTGAGAAACCTCGAAAAAAAAATTGTAAGTAGGCATGGGCGGTTCAACAGAAGCACGTAAACATGATTTACGGCTATCGCTATGATATTCACGAGGCGGGTGGTGTACGCGGAGGATTAAAATTATAAATTGCATTATAACGAGGAGGTCGAAAAGTTTTGTGTAAATGAAAAAAAAAATTATCATAATTTACGAATTACATAGTTCTTTAAAACGTTAATTCATTTTTATCCAAATGTAAAAAGATTAAATTAATTTTTTGCTGATAGTCTGTTGAAAGACTTGAATATAATTTGTTATGTGTCAATATTTATAATTTTTTAATCGGTAATGTAAATTTTGTTGCACACAGATATATATTATTTAAAGTAGTATATAGGTACTATTATATATTAATACTTTATTATACTATAGCTAATTGTTGAAAACAACATTTTTTATGTATGCATAATGAGTTAATGGGTTTAAATCATTATAGTATAGAAAAATAAAGAATTTAATACCTGTACACTTATGACACGAATACTATCTTTTTTTTAAGTAATCGCTAGTTTAAATACTTTTATTTGTTTACTTTAAAATCGTCTAAAATAATAGAGAATATTAGATCATTTTTAACACTCGTGATAGATTTTACTGTAGTAGTTTATAATATAATGCACAAATATTAATATCAAACAATACTTAAACGAATAGTTTATACTAGTATATAGTTGTGAAAAGTTATTTCTTTGTCTTAATAATAAGAATTCGTGAATAAAAGAATATGTTTGACATTTTTTTACATTTAATATTAAATCATAGTAATTACTCGTAAATTTCTGTGATAAAATTATAATGTATATGATATTATGTTTATTATTCTGTTATATATTAATACATTACACGAGACATGAGTATGATGTTCATAAATTAGAATTCAAAAGGGTGTATATTATTAATACGCGACTATAAAAGCTATTTAAAATCGTTTAATATATATATACATCTTTAATAGTTAATAGACATTTAATTTGCATTATTATATAGTTGAACCCGTTAAATGATGTATTTAATAGGAACCCAATAGAAGGTATGCCATAATGAATGGTGGATAGCAAATGTTAACGATTATAATAATTGATGTAGATAAAAGTGATAGTGGAAAATATTATTATATTTCATCCTAATAGTCTTTTTATAACTAACACTGTCATGTTGTACTCGTATACCATTGTACACCAATATGAATAGTTAAATGAAGAAACAAAGCCATGTACATGGAAGGACTTAATATAACACGTTGATAAAATATAACGCATAAACACATCGGCACATCGCATATATTTTAATATAAATATAAATTGTAAATAGAGTAGATTTATCCATTATACACAATACACTACACAGTACACATAGCACAATTTGCAAATTGAATTTACAAAAGCTATAAACACACACGCGGGTTCGTGCGCATGTAAAAAAGATTTTGCCTATACAAAATTGGTCTCACTCCGTATATTTTTAAATTTTACTGACACCTATGTATAGGTCTTAAATATATATATATATTAATATAACTACATATTCTTTGATAACGTAACTATTATTCTTATTTTGTATAGGTACAAACAGTTCATCTGCTTTAATTTAGTCGATTTTTTTTTTTTTAATTTCATTAAATTGTCTAATTGTTTTTAAATAAGATTAAAAGATTACTTTTATTTTATGGCTATCAATTCATCAATTGTACAAAATTAGATTTTTAAATTGTGTGCTGTTATGAAGTGTGGAGTTAGAATCGTCTCATAAATTACTTTATCTATGTCGAAAAAAAAAAAAAAATTATATAATATATATATGTATTGATTTTCCATGGAGATAAATTTGGAGTGATACCTCGGATTTTTTGATGAATACCGTGTATAATTATAAGCTATGGGAAACTGATGGGTAATTTTCAATTCAACAATATCTTTTCAAAACCTATAACCATTTGATTTGCCCTTAGATTCGGTAAGCAACCGGCGATTGTATTTGGCCCCTCGTCGTGTCGAAGGGTGATCATGATGAAGGGTCCATGTTATAAAGGTAAAATAAAATATATGTATAGGTGCGTATAAGCTGATTAATAACATGTCGTGGCGAAGAGAACAAAAAAAAATCGATGGTGAACACCTGCATTTTTGCGTAGAGAACACTTACCTATACCTGCGTATTGTACACATATTGTTTGTTGGTAAACTTGAAAACCTACGACATTGCACGCGCGTTAAATAATGGTAGCGTGTTCGTGGGGCGGTTTAAGCAGACGTCGTTGGACTTTTCGCTAGCGGAAGATGATGCGCTTTTGGCACCAGCCGTGAACACATCGGAGCTATAAACATATAGGTATAATGGTAAATATACACGTGCCCTGTATATATATATATATATATATATATATATTATGTAGGTACACAATATGGTTACATAGTAAGTATATAGGCACATATATATATATCGAGTAACGACCCCTGCGGCTTGGCCAGCGCACACGACCCTCGTCTGATGAGGGTGAGACCAGTAGTGTTATATAATATATATACGCTATTTATAAGTATATATATATATATATTGGTGGCTGCATCAGTATTATAGGAACGGTCGTGTATATTAGTGGCGACTGTGTATAGTGGCAGTGACACAAGTAGCAGTAATAGTACGTATAGAGTAGCCCGCTGCAGGGTATAGCTTTTCGCGGTGCCAAGGGCGCGGAGAGGGTTTTTAATAATAGTCGGCTAATTCGGCGACGGACCCTATTGCCATTTATTTGCTAATCCACCAGACCGCCGTTGTTATATTGCCATTATACGCATAAACCACGCACACTTCTCCCTCACCCATTCTCTTTGCACGCGGATGTGTGCGTTTCTCTCTCTCTCCCCTTCCGTAATTCCAAGCGCGATCTCTTTTCGCGCATATATAACACATCATATATACTGCAAACGGGTATAAGCGTATACGGCTGTGGCTACGCGGGCAAAACGAAAGGGTTATTATATACCAACACGCGTCATCGCGATGCAATTAAAAGCATTTAGCCCGTTGCGGAATCCCCGCACGGACGGCGTATACATATTACATAATATACTGCAGCGCCGACGACCGGCGTCAAGCTTCAGGTTGTTTTTTTGTAACATTTTTTACCCGTGCCACCTTTCCACACCTCGAACGATCTCCACCGCGACGTATCTACAATAAAAACGTGATGCTGTATAATGTATACAAATAAAATATTTCTCTTGTGATATGATGTGGTATGGATTTTTATTTTCCGCGTGCGCATTGTGAATTATAATTATAGTCTGCAGCGTTTGTTTACCGCGAGTTTTGCTAATTACTTTACACACAAACGCATAATCACGTATAAACGGATTATATTATTATCATATACACCCCACTTTGGTGTCGGTTTTATTTGCTCTTCTCGTCTATATTGTACATGTAAACACGTATATGCTATTTCAAAATTTATTATATTATTATATATATATATATATATATATATATATATTCACGTCTGTTTTTGGCACTCTCGTACAGAAGCAGCCATTGTCGCCGTTTTCAATATACTTGAATACTTGATTCGATGACACTTAACTAATCGAGTTCATTATAGGTTCTACGAGCGTTTTATTTATTTATTTTTTGCGATTTATCACTATAGACATGGTTATGGTATCTTGAGCATGCAAAATTAATTACCGAAAAGATTATTATTGTAATGTAACGTAATATATATATAATTACTGTTTAATTATAGGTAAGAATAAAA